GGTAATAGGTTACTAAATAATATCTGAAATATTTAAGTGTAACTCCCACACCCGAGTACATACGACAATATAATTGGTATCAATTTAACTCCTCTGGAATACCCTCGACTTCTCGGGTCTATGTCCTTAAGGAGTTAATATACAAATTTTGTAATTTTTACACAAAAGTCAGGGTCCATTTGACCCGCTAAATATTGACCGATCTTTATCAAAACAAGCGTGCTTATTATTTTGTCCGATCCTCTTCTTCATGTAAAAATTCGATGTTTGGGACATAATTGCGGCCGCTGGAGCGACCAGTAATATCGACAAAAATTAAGTATTTGGTCCATTTTATCCCCTAAATATTAACCGATCTTTTCCCAAAAATAGGGATCTTCATTGGGCAGAACCTATTTTACATTCAAAATTTCGTGAATATTGGTCCATAAATGTGGCCTGTATCGTGTTTACAAATTATAATGGACAGACGGACGGACACACATGTGTTGATCGACTCAGCTAGTCGAGATATGATGATCGGTATACTTAAAGGTGGGTCTAAGACCAATATTTCGCGGCGTTACATATTATTGGGGCTGCACAAAGCTATAATACCCTGACAACATAGTTGTGTAGGGTATACAAATGCTTCAACTCGACACTAGACAGCAATTCCGTAGACCTCCGTATACTTGAGGCTGATGATATATATCAATTATATTTTACTTAGTATTGTATCGTTTTCTAGTCGCAATTATGTACCGAACGTGGGAAATTGGATCTGGCCAACGAATAAGCATATTTCCTTTTTTATTTGATGACGATCAACCAATTTTTAGCTGATCAAATGGATCAATAATGTGAAAATTATAACATTTGCATTATATGACCTATGTATTTACTCCAGAAGGACATATACCGGAAAGATAACATTTTCAAAAGGAGTGAATGAATTGGTACCAATTATATCGATGTATAAACTCAGACGTGGGAGTTATACTTAAATATACACTATATTGTAAAGGCATTTTGCAAAGTTCCGAATGACTCATTCAAGATAGATACCAACAATTTTGTGGGATCACAACTGCTAATTTATATTCTTATTATCGTCTATCCCTATATAGACATAGATAGGAAATTTCGTATAGTTCAAATCCACACCACGAAATTTAACTGGTATGTGGTCTGATCGGTGTGAAAAAAAAATATTCTATAGCAAACACGTTTCGTCGAAGACGAAGACAGATGCTCTGTACCAGAAGTTGCTGGAACCAAGGGTCAAGAGAAGTTGTTAATGTTTGAAAGAATATTTCTAGAACCGCAAATTGAAAATTTAAGTCCAGTGGCAGTTATATAGGTTTCATATGATCGGACCCGTCCGAATATAGTGATCCGCTCATTGGTTTTGTAGAAAATTTTACAATTATAACTCAGTTCCTTTGGTGTCCTTTTCGTCCGGTCTTATTTTCATGAACCAGAAATCGATATTTATATATTTACTCCGTCCTTTCCACTTTTATGATATCCTTGCTCAGAAAACTTAATATCTATTTATATTATAGATATACAGATTATAGGTCTTATCAAAAACGATATTTTCAAATTTCGTGAGTAAACTATGTTCGATTTTCGCAGTTTTGACAAAAGAGGTCTATACGTGCTTTGATGGCTATTCCATTTTTATTATTCGATAAGAAGCAAAAAAAGCACCATAAATGCCAAGCTGTTTTACGGATTGGGCATGAAACGTACTGCAGAAAAAAGTCCTATTGACATCGCTGAGGACGACGATGATTCATACTACTTCAATAACGCCATGACGGTGACGAATCATAGGCTGATGGCTATACAAAACTAAGAAGGCAAACGAAATGTTTCGATGATTCGAAAAAAAAACCCTGGCAGAAGTGTATCATATCTCCAATTTATTGTTCAGGACAGAATTGTCTTACTAGAAGTGATGTCTATATTAATTATAATTGTGTCTGCGAGATATTAGACCTAATTTTATTCTATAGAAAAGCAAGTCGACATCGGCCTTAATCAAATATCTGGAATTTTCATTATACATAAAAACGTAAAGGTAATGCCAATTTCTCATTTTATTTGTCATAAAGATATAATTCTGTTTCTTCAAAAAATTTTGTGTTACTACAAAAAAAGATCACGCCATAAATAAAAAATGTGCCCATGGCGAATTTTTCCTTCTGGCTTCACAATAAACTCGCCAAAAAATTCCAAAATTCCTTTTGTGTTACAGTGCTATTTATCTATTGAATCGCCACAAATTAAATATGTGGTTATAATTTCTAATTTGGCCTTTTCCAAACTTTTAAATTAGCCTGGTTTTTTTGTTTGTTTTATTTATTTCAGTCTATGGAAATATAAATCCTTACAGACTAGATTATTATAAAGTATAGTGTAACTCTAATAAGTATTTAAATTAATCTAGATTGCTTTGAACTATATTTACACTTCATCTTAAATTTTTTAGCTATCACGCCACTGTAACTCATCATTCATTTGTAAGCGATAAGTTAACAAAAACAACACTGTATTTTTTCCAAAAACAAGTCTAACAAAAAGCGCCCTTTTCTGGCAAAAATTGAAAATTTATGATGTAAAAAGAATTTCATTTTTTGCTGCTGTTGTTGTTTTTTATAAATTACAAGACCCAAAAAACAAAACGGCAACTATACGCAAAAATAAATGGACATCGAAAGCAATGAGACAAGTAACTGAATGAAAAAACACACAACAAAAAATTATATAAAAAGTTTTAGGTGGAAGGCCAGAAGACGAAAATCAAAGAAACGAAGAAAAAAATACCCCAACAGCTCAAGAAAAGTGTAGAGAAATGTTGTCCCCCCTCAAAAACAAAAGAAAAGAGTCGTGAAGGTATGAATGTACTATAAAGAGGGGTGGAGTTGTTGAGGGTGCGCACGTTTGGCTTTTTTTGCACTTTATATTAAACAACAAACACAACAATAATACAAAAATTCCCATAAAGAGCATGCCAACAGAAAGCAAATCGAAAAAAAAACACAAACTCTGGTAACAGGTTCTTTGTGTGTGCGAGCTCGCCCTGTGGAAATAAAAATGGAAGTTTGTGCTATGCTGTGTTTTGTTTAGCTTTTTGTGTGTTGTTGCTGTTGTATTCTCAGTAACGAGAGTGTAACAACACTCATTGGTGCATAATGTGAATAGATTAAGCTCTTTGTTGCGTGGTTGTTCATGTCGTCAGCCAATCACATTAGAGAGTGTGTGCTGTGAGAGAGCCACAGAGCAGAATAGCTGTTTGGTTGAGGTGCTTTACTACAAAAACTCGTTTTATGGGGAGTGTAATGGTTGTCTCTTTTCCTCTTGAGTTTGTTGAATAATACTGGAATTCATGCTCTCTGTCTTGGGCGACAACTACAAACTGCACCACAAACTACAAAATATTTTAGCCCAGCCCCTTTTGTCTTTCTCTGAGTGAATGCAATGTTAGACAGGTTTCTGTTGTGTTGTGCTGTGTTTTGCAAAACCTTTTTGTTGTTATGCCCCTGTTCAAAGCCTCTCTCTCTGCATTCTCTCATTGAAAACACTCAACCACAAAACGGTCAACACAATTGTTGTTATAATCACCTCGTACCTAGTCGTTAACGCACTTTGTTCGTGGTTGGTCGCGCAGTCGTGTATGTGTTCTTCTGTTAGGCATGATTTCTGTGTGTTGTCTGGCTGCCTATTCGTGTGTGTGTGCGTGCGTGTGCAAGGCAAGCAAACAGCAACAGAGTTTTTGAAGCCTAGCTCTTATCCATCACACAGGGAGAGCAAGAGAGCGAGTTTCTTGTTGTTCTCACTTGCTGTACGTGTGTGTGTGTGTGCGAGTTGTGGTGTTGTGTGGCTGGAAAAATAATCACCGTCACCGTCGCAAATTTTTGATTATGGTCTTTAATGGTTAGTTGTTGATGTTTTTTACAGCGGTAATGTTGTGTTTTGTGTCGTCGTCGTTCGTTCGTTTGTTCGCCGCACACTGTTCTACGCTGCTATACAATACTACTAATAATAATACCTACAACCATCATCATTGGCACCACGTCACGTCGCCGTTTATTTGAAATTCATTCGTCGATGCATTTGACGTAGTCTTTAAAAAAATTGAAATTGTATATTTTCTTAAATTGTTCCGAAGAAGAAGAATACAACTTTTATTTCAAAACACAAAAAAGAATCTAATCAAAGGAATTTAATAAGACCAACAAGAATAAACGTGTCGCGACCGCTCTGCAATTTCGTCGTGTGAAATTATCCCTCGAGATTATTAACGAAAACAAAAACAGCCCTCATTAAAAACAAGTGGTTAATAACAAATTATAATAATAATATCAATAAAAATTAAGTGTTTACAAAAAAGAAAATTAAACATAATTGAACACGAATAATAACAACACAACAAAATTGCCTAAAAACAAAATCAATGAAACAAAAATAAATAGGAAAAGAAAACCAAAAGAAATTTAATAAAAAATTAAGAGGAAAAATAAAATAAATGAAGTTTGTTAACCTCGCAAAAATTAAATAAAAAAACTATAACAAAATTTTCCATCCATCTCATCTCTGCCGCTCGCTAATCGCCTAAAAGTGAAAATCCAAAACTTAAAAAAAAACAAAACCCACGCATTTTTCCTCGTTTGTTGTCATTCTGTGTGTTTAGCTTGTTTATTGTTGTTGCTTTGTTTTAATAAGTGTCATCAATTTTAATTACACTCATTTAGTGAGCTAGACAAACGTTTAACACACGTTCGTTCTCCAGCGCAGCTTTTGTGGATTGTAACCAGAACTATAATTAAATAAAAAAATAAATAAAGAAAAAAGTTTTGTTTACAAAAAAAAGTTTATTGCAAATAACAAAAAAGGCAAAAAATTAAAAAATAATTTAATTTATTTTAATTGAATTTTTCAAACACGTGCTTCAAAAATATTTATTTTCGGAAAAGTCTGAAAACCAAAAAAGCTTTGCATACATTGCATTCATCAGTGTTCGCGTGTGTGTTTTAAAAAGCCTTCAAAATTTTAGATAAAGTGGCCTCAATAGGCGCCAACACGCTTAATTTCACTGATTTAGGGAGCCCCTACGAGGGGCCTCCCAGCACACCCCAATCCGGCATGGATGCCCCCGATGCCCCACACACCCCCAAATATATGGATGGCGGTTCAACGGCCAGCATAACACCCGGCGCCGGTTCGGGTGGTAATAATGGCGGCAATAATGGTGGTGGTGGTGGCGGCGGTGTTGGTCCTGGTGGACCATTGGGCCCTGGTGGTCCCGCCGGCCCAACCGGTGGTAATATACCAGGCAAATCGGCATTTGTGGAACTACAACAGCATGCTGCCGCTGGGTAAGTAGAGAACAAAACATCAATGGGATAAAATATGAATTTATGGAAAAGCTAAACTATAGGGAGGCTTAAATATTAAATATATATATATATATATACATATTAATGAAATTTCTTTCAAATCTTAGTCTGCGTTCAGACATAGAAAATAAGAAGCTTTTAGAGTCTTTTATCTAAAGAAGGGAATTTAAATATTATGATTTGTTGCAAAACGATCTATTCTGATTGTAGTTTCGATGATTGTTTAAATTTATTGTGATTGTATTTGTTTCAAATTATACAGACAGTCCATGGGACCTATTATGGGCGCTGTTGATTTAAATTAAAAAATATTAATTTTTTTAATAAGATCATTTTAAAATAAGATTTTGTAGCTGGAACACTCTCAAAAAATGTATATTTTTTTTAAATTACCGGTAATATTTGCCGTCGCCAAGAAAATGGAAAGAACATGGAGAATAAAAAAATTCTATGGAAGATATAAAAGAAGTATAATTTTTAGTAATACGAAATTATGGGTCTGATAATCCTATAAAAAAATTTATAGATGTGTAGATTTTTTTTTTTCAAAAAATGTCAATTTTGAAGAACCACTTTTCCGTTAAGGAAATATTCATAAAATTCGGAAGTTCATATTGCTTCCATTTTTTTTAATTCTATTTACAATATCCGCCCCAAAAAATTTCCCAAATAAAAAAAAATATTTTTCAATTGCAAAATTTAGATCAACAAGCTCGACTCGAAAGAGTATAAATAATCACTTAAAATCATTTTTCAAAAATTATCTTCACAAGCCCATGTTTTGGATTCCTTTAAAAATAACCGCCAATATTTGTTTCTGCTAAAAAATTAATCCTTTTAAAGCTTCTTTCAAAGGCAAGGCTGTAAATCATATGCTCATCCAAGCATCTGAAACAAGTTCTTCGACAGGCGAAGATTCTAAATTGCCTCCAAAAATATTAAAAAAATCGAGGGAACAGTTTCTTCTCAACCTGTAGTAGGATCTACACTTTCATAATGCTTTCAAAAATTAAAAAAAAAAGATTGCTATATCGGCACCCACAAATGTCCCTGATTTGTAATCCTTCAAAAATACCCAAAAACGTCAATTTTTTCTGTTAACAAATTAAAAGACTTTTATAGCTGCCGAGTTCCTTAAAAAAGAGATGTCTCTATTTAAGATAGTTTTCAAAAATATTAAAAAAATGTGTAAATTTTATGCCGAAAATTAGAACAAATTATTCGACTGCCAATGATTCTACTTTGGACAGATTGCCTCAAAAAATATTTTAAAAATCTGCTAAAAAAACGATTTTTTAAAGTCCTTGACAATAATAAAAAATATCTTCACAAGTACACCTTTTGTATTCCTTCAAAAACAATTTAAAACCAGTGAGCGGAGCTGTATAGTCGGACGGGGCCGACCATATGATACCCTACACAACTTCGACGAAAATCTAACTTTCTTTGGTTCTATATTCTGAGCATGGACACTAATTCGCGGTATTTGCACCCTCTTGATCGACTAGAGGTCAGCAAGTATTACTTATATTCCGTATAGTCCTTCTTACTTGTCCAGATTCCCTTCACCGTGGGTTGTGTTGTGATGTTCGGCTTTAAATTGTGGACTATAGATCGACTTAAAAAACACACAAAAAATAAGTTTTCGGTCCACTTCATCCCAAAATTATTATCTCATCATCGCCGAAAATTGTAGGCGTTGTCCTTGACCATAAATGAAACCTCATGGAACCTATCAGGAGTAAATATATACGCTATATAATACAAATTTTGTAATTTTTCACACAAAAGTCAGGGTCCATTTGACCCGCTAAATATTGACCGATCTTTATCAAAACAGGCATGCTTATTCTTTGGCCCGATCCCCTTCTCCATGTAAAATTTCACGATGTTCGGACTATAATTGCGGCCTCTGGAGCGACCAGAAAACCCGACAAAAATTTAGTATTTGGTCCATTTCATCCCTTAAATATTAAGCGATCTCCACCAAAAACAATAGGGGTCTTCATTGGCCAGAACCCAACCTACATGCAAAGTTTCGTGAAGATTGGTCCATAACTGTGGCCTTTATCGTGTTTACAAATTATAATGGACGGACGGACGGACACACATGCCTAGATCGACTCAGCTAGTCGAGATATGACGATCGGTATACATAAAGGTGGGTCTAGGACCAATATTTCGCGGCGTTACAAACTCTTGGGGCTGCAAAAAACTATAATACCCTGACAACATAGTTGTGTAGGGTATAAAAAATCTCCAACTTAGTTCTCTGTTTTAAAAAAGATACAGTTTACAAATTTACATTGGTTCAAAAAAATAAAAAAATAAAAAATATTTAAAAAAAACTACAAAAAAAAGGACGACGCATTTTCCACTTTCCTAAAAAGAATACCATTTGTATTTAAAATCAAATCTCCTATTCCTTTTCAGGTACCTTCTAATTCTTTACAAAATATAATTAATATAAATTAAAAAATGTAATTAATAAATAATTTATAATTCAGTTTAGGGCAATTTTTTTCTATATAAATCTAAGTAACTACTTTGAATATCTATCGGGTATCGGATACCATCAAAAAATATATTTTTAAACAAATTCCAAATTCAGTTTTCGGCCCAATAAAAAGCACACCAATAGCTCCTCAATAGATTAAAATAAACATCTACATGTTTAAACAATTGCCCATAATATCCTTTCGATATAACATTGACTTTAAATCTATGTTGTAGACCTTTTTATATAATTAAAAAAATCTTAGCAAGGATTAAATACAAACCTTACCGTCGCTTTAAAATAAAAACCTATTTTCAATTCATGTTTTAGCATTTTTAAAAATTAATTTGAAAACAACAAATTCATGCAATGGAATAACTGAAATTGTCATGTGGCTTATTTTTCCCTTTCAAATTTCCCCCCTCTATGTTGTTCCCCTCCGTATTCCACACCCACACTATGAACATTTTGCATTTATTCCACTGACTCAATGATAATCGGCAATGATAAAAAAACTACAGCATTGCGTTTTATTGTTTTACTATTTCACTTGCATTTCAAAAATAAAAAAAGAAAAATAGAAAAAAAATAAAAAATGAAAAAAAAAAATAAATAAAACGGAAAACTAATGTCGTGTGGACATTGCAGATTTTCTATGGAAACTGATGTTATCATTGGTGTTTTACATCTGAAAAAAAATACAAAAAAAACCTGAGTGAAATTAAAAATAATAAAACAAAATTGCAACTATGTATATATGAAATATGAATGTTATAAACACAAAAAAAACTGTGAGAAGAGCGTGTTGTTGTATTTCATTTTTTTTGAAAATTACAATTTGCATTTTTACAAAAATGCTGGCTGGCTGGCTTGCTGTTAACATGGAATGTTGTTTTGTGTCATAATAAAATATGGCATTTGATAAACAGAAGAAAAAAACTTTGTGGTAAACAAAAATACCATAAAATAATCACAAATTTTAATTTTTTTAGCATTTTTATTTTTTATTCTTGTTATTAACATACAACATTTTATTATGTTTCAACACATTCTGTGTGTGTTTTGTATGTAACATTGTTTTGTATTCACTAATTTATGGTGTTTTTTTGGAAGAGTACAAAACAGACAATACGGGTATATATTTAATTTTTTTTTTCAATATTTTCATCAAAGTGTTGGTGACTTAAAAGCTAATAGATGTTTTCAGCCGATTAATGTTTCGTAATATTGATTATTTTTTTATTTTAAATATTAAAGAAATCTATGTATATATGAGAAAATATTTGAAGAATTGCAGTCACTCAAAATCGTATATAGAAGAGGAGAAAAATATGTTTACTCAATAAATATTTTAATTTCATTATGAGTCAAATAAATTTCCCGTAGCTCTCCTCCAAAATATTACGAAATTCTCACCTAAAGAAAAAACAATTATATTTTGGATTTATTTGTTTTAAATTTTTAACTTTTTTTCTGACAATTATTTCTTTTGACTTCTTTAATTTTAAATTCATATTTTGAAGAGCTGTTTGAGCTATTCTTGTTGGATTTTTCGGAATATTTATACCCTACACAACTATGTTGTCAGGGTATTATAGCTTTTGGTGCAGCCCCAACAGTTTGTAACGCCGCGAAATATTGGCCGTAGACCCACCTTTATGTATACCGATCGTCATATCTCGACTAGCTGAGTCGATGTAGACATGTGTGTCCGTCTATAACTTGTAAACACGATACAGGCCACAGTTATGGACCAATGTTCACGAAATTTTGCATGTAGGATGGGTTCTAGCCATTGAAGGCCCCTATTGTTTTTGGTAATGATCGGTTAATATTTAGGGGATGAAATGGACCAAATACTAAATTTTTGTCGGTTTTTCTGGTCGCTCCAGAGGCCTCAGTTATGGTCCGAACATCGTGAAATTTTACATGGAGAAGGGTATCGGCACAAATAATAAGTATGCCTGTTTTGATAGTTAGCGGTTCAAATGGACCCTGACATTTGTGTGAAAAATTACAAAATTTGTATTCTAAAGGGTATAGATTTACTCCTGAAGGACCTAGACCCGAGAAGTTGATAGTGTATCAAAGAGAAGAGGTTGACCTTTAAATTGATACCAATTATATTGTCGTATGTACTCGGATGTGGGAGTTACACGTAAATATTTACAGGTGCTTACGTATTCATATATTATTTAGTAACCCATTATCACTCTAGAGAGCGGAACTATAGCGCTGATCGCTTTCAAATGTTCCATGAGGTTCCAGTTATGGTCAAGGACAACGCCTATAATTTTTGGTGATGATCAGATAATAATATTGGGATGAAGTGGATCGAAAACTTAATTTTTTGTGTTTTTTGTTTTCGAATCGAGCTATAGGTCATAATTGAAAGCCGAACATTACAACACAACCCACGGTGAAAGGAATCTGGACAAGTAATTAGAAGGGCTGCACTGAATATTAGCAATATAATGTTGAC